AGACTCCTTCCCAGGCATTATGTGCTGAATTGTGTCCCCTGAAAATTCATATGTTGAAGTCCTAACCTCTAGTGCCTCAGAGTGTGACTACTTGGAGGTAGGCCTTTTAAAGAGGTGATGAAGTCAAAATGAGGTTGTAAGGGTGGGCCCTAATCCAGTCGGATATGTGTCCTTAAGAGAAGAGAGAAGGCGGCCATCTACAAGCCAAGAAGAGAGGCCTCAGAGAAACCAAGCCTTCGACAGCTGGATCTCAGGCTTCTGGCCTCCAGAACTGTCAGAAAATAAATGTCTGTTGTTTAAGGCAAACAGTCTGTGGTACTTTGTTGCGGCCTCCCGGGCTGACTAAGACACCCGGCCCCCAGCTTCACCAGAGCACGCTGCTCCCCAAGTAAGGAGTCCCCAAAATTGCCAGCACTCCTCTGCTCCCCGGCCACCTGCTCCAAGACATGGAAGCTTCTCCGATCAGAAAGTTCTTCATTTGAGCTTCCATTGGATTCTTCCCCTCTCATCACTTCCCCCTCCTCTGGCTTAAGTGCAGGGGAGCCAAGTGTCCACGCACCATGGTCACTGCAGCCTTGGTCCCCCACAGAGAGGCACACTCTCCCTTTCCCCTCAATTTCTGGCTCTATTTCCTGGACCCACACCTACCCTGTGGGCACCCTGTCCTCTAAGGTGAGGAGCTGGACAACCATCCTGAGTTCAGGGTGTGGGGAGAAGAAGCTGAGCCTGGGGGTGGGAAGGGATTTTGAGTCAACATTTGGATTCACAAGCCAACCCCACCCCTTATCTCATGGTCCCAGGCGAGATCGCTGACCTCCCCACATGCTGGGGACCTGAGTGGTCATCACCCCATGGGGTTGGGACAGAGTGAACCAAGATCATGGAAGGAAGGTCCCACACATGAGGACTTCCTCCTCCTTGGGCAGGTCCCCTCCCTCTTCGAGCCTCAGTTTCCTCTGTGGCGGGAGGGCATGAGATGTGCTCTGTGATCTGGGGAGGCAGGCCTGCAGAGACCAGAAGTCCCCACCCGGCTTTTCCTCCATCGTTTTGCTACTGAGACTATTGGGAGATGTCCTGAGGGAGAGGAAGGGCACGTTGGGTATCACTGTGCTGTATGCCCTCAACTGGAAACCTGCACAGGAGCTGTGTTGTGGGGATGCGGGAAGTGAGGAAGGGGTTAAGTCCAAAGCAGTTCCCGACAGGACGAGGAGGAAGGTTAAGTCAGCGTCATCTGGAGGGCTTCCCAGAGGAGTAGGCGCTCTCAGCCCAATGCTGACCACCTCTCGCTGCAGGGATGGCCAAGGTGGGGCCCAGGCCAGAGATGACCTCTGTCACCAAGAGCCCGGCTCAGTGCCACCCCCAGCCACTCTGAGTCACCCAGTGGGCTCCAGAGGTACTGGCCTGGCCCGTCCTGGGCCCTCCCCTGGCGGGCCTGAAATAGGAGAGACGGGCCACTTCCAGAAATGGCCTCACCTCAACTTGGACACACCACCTTCTCCATATTTTGAGAGGTCAGCCCCTCACCAGAGTGAGCAGTCCCTCCTGTGGGGGAGGAAGGGAGACAGAGGACATCAGTGGATGTGCCTCAGCTGCTCCTGGCACTCAGGCCCTGCTAAGTACCTGCCACAGGTACTATACTCAGTGCATCACTGCATGTAACCCCTCCTCATCCTCAGAAGCAGAGCCAGGGTGATCTGGACTGTCCAGTGGTGAGAAGTGGGGGACAGAGCTGACAGACACTCAAAGGCTCAAAGGGACCCAGATATTGTCACAGGACATCCCCTGGCGATGTCGGCCAGTCAAGGATGCTATAGCAGTTAGCACTGGGGTTTCACACCAAGACCCGCTCTTGACCAGTGAGACAAACTTGGCCAGGTCACTTAAGCCCCCTGTGCCCTAGATGATCCCCCACCCAGGGCTAATAACAGTGCCAACCTCACAAGGTGGCCATGAGCATCAGATGAGATGGCAGCCATCAAGTGCCTGGCATCATGACTGGCGCATGGCAAAGCCAGAGCTGGACACCAAGGCCAAGGGGGCTCCTCCCTTGGTCCTGTCGGCAGACCCCTGAGATGCCAGTCACAGTCACTACCGACATGGTAGAGACTCACAAGGAAACACAACAGGCAGCCCCCCTTCAGCTCCTGCTCCCCAAAAGGTGCTCAAATTGACCTATCAATGGAATCCCTGTGTCACAGCAGGGTAAACTGAGGCCCCAAGAGAATGGTGTCTTGTCAGAGGATTTGAACCCGGACATTTTGGCTCTAGAGGTCACAGTCTTAACCACTGCCAATTTACCAACTGCCTTTTGTGAAAATCGCTACAGTAATCCGAGGAGGTGAAGGCTGTCACCATTCCACGTTTGTCGTGAGGAAACAAAGACCACAGGAAGGTGAAGACCCAGGGCACACAGCTGCGGAGGGCAGACAGGAGGTGTGGCCCAGGTAGCTGGGCTCTAAAGCACACGTGCTCGCCCCCTGCACTCAGCGCCTTGGGGCCAGCCTGCCTCTCCTGGTCCAGGGCCTCCCCGGAGAGCAGGCAGAGCTGCCTCAGACATCACATCGCCCCCCGCAAAGCCATCCCCCAGCCCTAGGACAGCTCTGGCCGACAGCCAAGCCCCTCCCAGGCTCCAGTGTGAGCCACCTCCTGCGCTCCCAGAGTCTTGGGCATTAGGCATCCATATCCTAGCTAGCACATGGGGAAACTGAGACACAGTGACCAGCCCACAACCAGGGAGACAGACACAGGCCTCCTGCTCTGCTCTCTTGACCAGAAAATTAGCCAGAACAAAATGCATTTAGCTCTGGGCCCCAGAATCTAGAGCCTTCCAGAAGTGCTTCAGCCAGGAGAAGCAGGACGAGGATAACAATCACTGCTCCCGCCTCGCTCTCCTGTCCCTGTCGGGGGTGCAGCCCAGAGACAGCGGGGAGCACACAGTGGGACAGGCAGGGTCTGCCCCAGTGACCACCCCAGCTGCTCAGCTCCAGGCCCAGGCCAGCCAGGCCTGGGAGGAGGACAGCATGGCAGTGAGCTGCTCCCCTGCCCTCCCTTCCCACCCTCGGGCACGGGGCCAGCATCTCAGCCTCCAGACAGGAGCCCCTCTGTCCCTACAGGACAAGCTGACCTTTAACTGGCCAAAAGGTCCCACTGGTTCCATCCCCCTGCCTGGAGGAGCAGATCAGAGGAGAGGAGGGCTGGCAAGGGGTCAGGAGAGGAGTCCAGGGCCTCCCTCGCCCTCTCCTTCCTGCCCTTCCCTGCTTCTCTGGTCTGCCCTCTCCCTGCCCCCACAGCTGACAATATCCCAAGCCCCATTCTTCCCACAGCCACGCCTTTCCCCTTAAGTATTTTACCTTTTGTTTGCCTGGCACTTTATGGCTTACTAAATGTTTTTACATTTATCATCGCATTGAATCCACACTAGGGAGAGATGAAGAGACATTGAAAATTCCTTCAAATTGCCAAGTGTTCTTGTTAAAAATGCAAACATCCCCAGAACAATGAACAATTAGGCTGGCAGCCACCGGTACCTCCGGACTAATTCACTTCACCCTCCTCCTCCTCAGTTACTGGGCACAAGGGGATGTGGTCGGGGCGAGGGGAGGAGCAATTTGAGGGGACAGCCTCAGCGCAGTAGGGAGGACCCTGGTGGATGGGCTGGGCCCCTGGGGAGCGGAGAAGGGTGGGAATCAGGTAGGTACGAGGACAAACTTTCAACATGGCAATGTTGCACATGAACATACTCCCAACAAATCCTCAATTCTAGCCCAACCACCACCCTCATCCCAGTCTGAAATCCATCAGTCATTCTGGTATCTCCAAGGTCAGAAGGAGAATCCTTATGCAAGAAAAGGCCTAAAAGATTTTCAGGGCGGAGTAAAAAAATCCACAACCTTGGCGATGGAGGCAGGAGGCAGGGTGAGGGTGCCGCATCTACCTAGCCCAGCTCTGCCACATGGCCCAGGGTCCCCGGGACGGCGCAGACCACCTGAGGACCAGCTCCAGCTGGGAAGAGAAGCACAGAGGCTGGGACACCAGTGCCCTTAAAATGAGACATCCTGGTCGTGGGGGTAAATCAAGAGATTTACCTCCTGGGGGATGGGGATCTCAGCTATCCCAGCTGAAGATGGATTGGGGGGGGTGGGCCAATGGTCCTGAGGTCCTCCCAGCTCCCATATTCTGTGGTCCCGGCACCAAATCAGGGTCGCAAGCCTGTGGCCAAACCTCAGCCAGGGTGTCTCAAGGGTTCCTGAGCTCCAGACATGCTCACTTTCAGAGGCCCGGCCCTGCATCCCATCACACATATTCAAATGAACCACATCAATCAATATAATTCATACCTAATTCTCAAGAGTTGAACCGAGTTGCAGCTGAACATCTGACATAATGTTAGGTTTTGTAGCTAAATTAAACATGTATTAATTTCAATTCTGCTGCTTTCTTTTCAAATTTTGGAGCCTCCCGGTTTGGTTCCAGCTCGCAAACATTTTCGTTGGCTGTTGATGAAAGCTGGTGGGCCCTAAATGCTGTGTCTACATTCCTAGTGTTCTGACCCCAGAGAACTCAGGCAGCGAGCCTGAAGAAATCCAACAACAAGGTTAAAAGAGATTTAACAAATGCTATATTTGCAGCACAGAGAGTTACCTCAAGCTCCACTCAGGGCCACCTCCTCCAAGGAGCCCTCCAAGATCACTCCATCTCCCAAGAATCCCTCCCCTGCCAATCTCAGAGCACTTGCTGCCAACAGGACTTATCTGGCACCAAGGATACACCCTTGTATGGCTGTTTTGCTGCATTTTTTAGCTCTGCCTTCATTACTTAACACATTCATGTTTTGTTTTCTCTTCTCCCACTGAACTGTGAGCTCTCCTCCTTGGACTTCTCCTCTGCACCACTCTCCCTCTGAGCCTAGCATGGTGTCGTAGCAAACCAAGAGAGTTGAGGCAATGTGAGCAGGGGCTGTGCAGTTTGGGGAGGGGCTGGAAGCTGCTGGTCCCACCTACCCTCCATGCCGTCATCTCGATGCCCATTGAAGTTGTCATAGGAATCCCAGCGGATGAGGGGATCAGAGGTATTATAGTCCACAGACACGCTCGGCCCGTTCTCCAGGTGTTCCATGCCTAAAAACAGTGGGAAAGGCAGAGAGGACAGTGAAGGGAAAGAAAAAACAGATCAGCAGCTGGAAAAACAGAGCAAGCCAACCAGCTCCCCAAGGATGCTCCCTATGGGACTTCTCAGTTTCTTGACCACAGTGGGGCGGGACTAGTGGCTTAAGTTGGATGGAGAACCCAGGAGTCTGGTTTCCTGCATTCTTGAAAAGGCTCACACCAGGTCATAAGGGTAAGTCAGGACAGGGGCGCTGAGGAATGAAGACCCTCTAGAAGAAAGCCGAGGACTCTGGCTGGGGACCCTCTTTCTTTTCTGTATCCCAGGGGCCCTTGGGGCAGTGCCAAGAGTCCGGAGTCTGCCCCTGGAGTCAGGAGGGAAGGTGGGAGAGGCTTGTGATGGGCTGCATGGGGTCAGGGACAGCAGGCGAATCACAGCCTTGACATTGAGAGGACCCAGGTCATCTCAGCCATCCCTACCCCTCTCCCCATTAAGATGCTCTCCACTCCAGGTAGAATCTCTCCTACACATCCAGCATGAAGATAGCATAAGGTGCAAGTCAGGCCTTCTGGGATGAGTTACCTTCCTGACCCAGCAGTCCTTTTTTTAATCCACCCAGAGTCCCTCTGTCTGTAACCCAACTTCACCTCTTCCCATTCTATTCTCAAATAAGATGGAAAACAACTGGTCTCCACATATAACCAGTGTACTGGCTTAAAGGCTATAATTAAATTGGCCTTCTCATCTTCAGGTTGAATCACCTCAGTTTTCATAAATACTTATCATCCATCCAGCACCTTTGAGTGTCCCCTTGGCCAGTCCCTCCATCCATCAAGGCCTTCAGTCTCTGAATATAATAGGATAATGACCTAATGAGACCAGAATAGTTTATCCAACCCAGCGCCTCTCTGTCTACTTTTTTATTTTTATTATCCAGGGATTAAGTCACTGATTCATGTTTAGCTGGGGGTCCACTGTGATATCCAGATCCTTTACTACTGGCCTGCCTCTCAATCACAGGTAACTTGATAATCGTAGAACAGATCAGTGGGAAAGTGGTGGAAGTGGGGTGAAGTAAGGCAGGGCAGGATCGAGGGAAGGGAGTGAATCAATGTATTCTAACTTGGCTTTTACCTTGAATTTTCTCTGGTCCATAAGAAAACACAAATTCAACTTTGCCATATTCTGGAAATCGATCATCTGAAAAAGGAAGAGGAAAAACAAAAATGGGCAATCAATTCCCAAAAAGGACTCTACAAAAAGTTTTCTTCTAGAAAAAATTAAAGCAATATGTGCATAAATAGTTGATAATATAATAAGTTTTATATATACATATACACACACACACAATGAAATTAAGGCTGCCACCCTAGGCCCTGGCCTCCCTGCCTGAGTTAACCATTTCTAACTATTTCCAGTTCTTGTTCTACTAAAAGTTACCTCTAAGACTCTAAATAATAGTCATAGTTTCTATGCCACTCTTTCTAGGTATATCAGTTTTAAATAATTTTCATTGATTCACCACTATGAAGATGAATAATTTGGATCATTTACAGTACTCCCACCTCCCTTCTTTTTTTTTTTCTCTTTTCCATCTCTTTTTTTTTAATTCAAGTATAGTTGATTTATAGTGTTGTGTTAGTTTCTGGTGTACAGCATAGTGATTCAGTTATACGTACATAGACATATATTCTTTTTCATATTCATTTCCATTGTAGGCTATTACAAGGTATTGAATATAGTTTCCTGTGCTACATTGGAGGACTTTGTTGTTTATCTATTTTATCTATGGTAGTTAGTATCTGCAAATCCCAAACTCCCAATTTATCCCTCCCCTCCCCCTTTTCCCCCGATAACCATAAGTTTTTCTGTGTCTATGAGTCTGTCTCAGTTCTACAAATAAATTCATTTGTGTCTATTTTTAAGATTCCACATACAAGTGATAGCATATGGTATTTTTCTTTCTCTTTCTGGCTTACTTGGCTTAGGTGAAGTAAGTACTTTGCGATCTCCAGGTCTACCCATGTTGCTGCAAATGGCATTATTATATTATTTTTTATGGCTGAGTGGTATTCCATTATATAAATATATCACAACTTCCTTATCCAATCATCTGTCAATGGACCTTTAGGTTGCCCACCTTTAGGTGTGGGCTATTGTAAATAGTGCTGCTACAAACACTGGGGTGCATGTATCTTTTCAAATTAAGAGTTTCCTCTGGATATATGCCCAGGAGGGGGATTTCTAGATCATACGTTAAGACTGTTTTTAGTTTTTTAAGGAATCTCCATAGTTTTCCATAATGGCTGCACCACCTCTCTTCTTAAATCTGGTTTTATTTTTTTATTATTAATTCATCCTTCTGATTACCTCTGAAACTTTCAGTACTATGGTTAAGCCTCTATTTCTTGATCTGTCCATTTTCAATCATGCCCTGACTCCATGCAGGAAGAGGAAATTTGTGCCACTCCCTCCCCCCACCTCTCTACAACCCATTTATTTTGTCAGCTAGCCCTTTATTTTCCTTGTTAAGACTGATAACATTTACATTCTCTTCTGCAATTATAACAACATCATCTGCTTTTGCCCTCCTGGCTCCATTACAGGGAAAGCTCATCACAGAAATAGCCTTCTCCTGCACAAGCCGGACTACAGTGGGAGATCAAGCCCCTCCCCCATCTGAGCCCCAGCCCCATGAGCTGATCTCTGCCTGGGCCAAATCTGGACACAGATCACCATCCACTGCTTGTAGGAAGAGAAGTTACAGTAGCAGGTGTCTGCTCTGTGGAGCACCCATCATGCCTGTGTCTCTCGCCATCACTGTGAGCATCACTTCATAGTATCATGCTTGTGTGTCTCTTTCGCCTACCAGACTGGGAGCTCCCTGAGGGTAGGGCATGACTTCTTTCTCCTTGTATCACTAGGGTCTGAAACATGCCTGGAACATACAGACACACGAGTGATGCTGGTGGATGGATGGATGTGGATACGTTCCGGGCCTGCCTGAACACGATGTAGATGAAACCTCAAATGGACAGCAGAAAGAAGCACAGAGAGACACCTCCCTGACACCTTCCCTTCCGTGGAACATGGTTCCCCCTTCACTGCTGCCACAGCCCCTCCATCATTGTTCTTCCACCTTGTGGTTCTAATTATTCCTTGCTAGGTCTGCCTGTCTACTCGACGCGCCCACCTTTGAAGGCATCATCAAGGTCCTCCTTCCCAAAGACCACCCCCAGGTCATGGATGGCGCAGGTGTGGAACTGCACGCGGAAGACAACGTCTCGGGCTGGGCTCCAGAACCTCTTGTGGTAGCACTTCAGCTGCGTGGGAAAGAGAGCAGAGCCCATCAGGCAGGAAATTAGGGAGCCTCTTTACTAGCTCCATAACTGGGCCCTCAAGGCTCACCCCAAACCCAGTGAGGAAGAGGTCACCAATACCAGACAGGCGCTCAGAGCTCTCTGGGGAAACTTCTAGAACAGCAGAGAGTTGGAGGCCAGTTTTGCCCTGTGGGGACAAGGCTATCATCCCAAGAAGTTCCTGCATGCAGGTGGGAATGGAGAACATAGGCGTGGATTTAAATTGCAGGAGGGAGGAGGGACCTGGATTGAGGGAGTCCTGTCACCATCAGGAAGCCCTGAGGTAACAGTTCACATTGAGAGATATTTCCCTGAAGATGATCTAGAACAAGAGAAGAGCCCAGCGGAGGGCACGTCCAACTCCAAGACAGCGGATGGACAAAGGTCATCAAAGCCTGGAAGACCCGGCAGGGTCCCTGGGAACCTGCAACTCCAAGGCTGGCGGCTCACCAAGAATGACACTCTTGTCCAGAGAGGCAGGAGGGAAGCAGGAAAAAAAAAATGGCAGTCACGGGATTGAGCAGAGAGGCGACTCACCAAAATGTCTCCCTTCAAGAGCAGCCCGGGCTCGATGGTGATGCAGATGCTGGTCTGGCTGTCTCCTTGGACGTTGCTATGGAGAGAGGTAGGCAGAAGGGAGAGGGCTGCTGAGAGGTGGGGCAGTGCGCTTTCTCCCAGCTGCCCCTCTGCCGGGGCTTACTGGGGAAACTCACTGACCCCATCTCTGAGCCCTCTCCTAAAAGTCCTCCTAGAAAAGGTTCTAGGCAGCCCCCCAACCCGTGCCGCTGGTCCTCAGGCTCAGCCTCCGGCATCCCTGGCCACTCGTTCCTGCGAATACCTACTAGATGCCAGACGTGTAAACAGGTTGCATGGCCTGGTAGATCCGAAGAAATGGCCGACACCCTGTAAGGGAGGGATGGTGTTAGCCAAGACAGCAGACACAGCAGGAAGAGGAAGGGGAGAGGAGGGATGAAGGAAGGAAGGAACAACCAGAGGAGGAAAGGCAAGAAGGGGAAGTAGGAAAAGAGGAAGGACAAATGGAAAAAGAAAGAGGAAGAAATACTAACTTTTCTTTTTTTTTTCCTAACTTTTAAAAGGTATTTTGAGTTTACAAAAACTCTGCCATGTCCAGTGTCATCTGCCCTGCAGACACCACCAGGATTAAACCCATTTTGCAAATGAATCAACTGGGGCTCAAAGAAATAGGAAGTGGTAGAGTTGAGACTGTAAGCCTAAGGCTGCAGCTAGCCTGCATTCTTACCCCTCAGGGCTGCCTCCTAAGAGAGGGAGGTGGAAGACAGGAGGGGAGCGGAAGCCAGCAGGCTCGGACAGTTACCTCCTTTAGACTCGAAGTTGGGGATGCCGTGCATGATCACATGGTGCAGAAACAAGGGCTTGTTGTTCATTTTGATGGAGCCAGAGAGCAGGCCACTGAAATAATGCACATACCTGGAGCAGGGAGAGGGGCAGCTTCAGCCACGGAAGCCTGTGCTGGAGCAGAGCAGTCCTGTTCTCTTCCCCCCCAGAACATCACCCTAGGTGACCCCACCAAGCTCCCCTCCTCCAACCAACCCCAGCCTCCTGGCAGCTGGGGTCTCTGTCCCCAGCACAGTCCTCCCCTGCTGCCTGGAGCCCCAGGTAGGGAGGGTGAACAGGTACCATTACACCTAGAATAGAGTCAAGGCAAGCCTCCCACTTGGGGTTCTCTAGCGCCCCCTGGTGGTCAACATGACCACATCACTCCTGCTTCACTCCCAGCCCAGGAATCCCCTGCTGGACCAAATTTACTCCCACACATCCCTGGCAGCATGTAGCTGTTCACTACTGTACAAGGCAAAGTGATCAACCACCAGACAGCTCTGACAACCCTTACACTGAGCCCAAACCAGGCTTACATTTGTACCCACAGGCCCCAGTTCTACCCCACAGACCCATTAGCCACATGATAGTCCAGCAAACAGTAAGAGCTTAATAATTATAACCCTTCACATTTTTATATTACACTGAAGTGTACAAAGTTTCTTTATATCATTCATTTGGTACTGGGGGATACTTAGCTTCCACTAAGTATTCCTATCTCTAGGGTTAACAACCCCTGATTCCCTTAACAAAGATCTTGTTGGAAGACGGAAGGAGTAAGCCATCCCCCACTACTCTAGAAGAGAGGGAAAACTCGGTCCAGAAATTGTAATCAGCCTCCCAAAGACACACAGCAAGAACACACAAAGCTGGGAGGCGAGCGGGTCAGGGGAGAAGGGAAGCAAGCAGTCTGACTCCAGTGCATCTACTAGAAGGACAGGCCAGTCCTTTTGGTCAGTACTTCCTCCTTGTCTGACTGGCCAGACGATGTGAAGCTGAGTCATCTGGACCAATCAGAATGCATCCTGAGTCTCCGAGGGAGCCAATGGGGGCTCTTTGAGGCAGGTGAGGCCAGAATCCGCATGACCATGACAGTGGTCCCATCCTGACTCTTGGCTCCTTGGCTCACCTCCAGGCTTGTGGGCCTCTGTCCCTGGGCCAGGGTGGGGCCACCTCGGACTACCCCAGGAAGATAATCTGATGGGCAGGGCCAGCTCCTATTCAGGCCTCTGCCCAGCCCCCAGCCCCATAGCTCAAACCGGAAACCTGGAATGGCGGGCTCCTATCAGATCTTCTGATCATGCCAACAGGATGTGTCTGTGTGCTGGGGACAATGAGCCCGGGGGTGGGGTGATAATGAATGGGGGAGCTGCAGTCAAAGCCCCTCCCTCCCTCTGTCCCTGCCCTCCTTTCCTCCAGCTGCTCCATTCCCTGCAAGTGACACTGACAAGAAGGCAGGAAAGTAGCAATGAATGCCACTTTCCCAACAGTTGCACTTCCACATTTAGATGCAGACGGAATTACCCACCCATCAGATGATGCAGTTGCGGATATGAGCTGCAAGGCAGACACAGATAATATAAACACACACACACACTGATCACATGCTATGTAAGCACACACTCTACACAGTGGAATCCCTGAACAATTCTATTCCTGAGAGGTAACACTGATCCCCATACCCCAGAGTTTCAGCTTCAGAGATGTGACTGCTCTGCCCACTCTCTCCAAGCCGCATTGTGCCATTGTAACATCATGCTCCTCTGTTTGAATCTCTCACCCTCCAAGGTCAAGGGCGAGACTCAGGACCAAAGCCACCAGTCACATATAGCAAAAGCCAGGGTCTTGAATGATAGTTCTCTCCTCCCTGAGACTTCTTCCCTGGGAAGACTCTCACTGATCCACAGCAGCTGTGTCTGGCAGCCTAGTCAGAATTTTCTGCAAATAAAGACAGCTCATTTCTGATCTCTGACCCAGAGGCTGGCTACCAGCTGTCCTGTGTCAGTTGTAAGGCACTGGTTACCTGAGTACTTACTCCTTCTTGTACTTCCTACTACAATGGCAGAAACAGTCCCCAGCAGTGCCAGCACACCTTTAGCCAGGCAAGCAAGGTAGGGGTGATGCGCTGTGGGTTGGAGACTCCCAGCATAGAGAGGCTGGAAAGCTCCAGGACCTGCAGCTGGGGGTCCTGAGTGCCCAGTCAGTGTTCTGAGGGGCTGAAAAAGTCCATGGGACATTGTGGCCCTTGTACTTGCTGCTCCCTCTGCCTGGATCCTTGACCCAGACCTTCACTCAGATGCTTCCTTCTCCCTTCCCAGACCTCCCCTCACATTATCAGCTTCTCAGAAAGGTCAGTCCATTGGAATCAGCCCCTCACACCCACCCCCATTACTCTCCAGCCCATCATGTTCTGTTTTGGTTTTTCCACATCAAAGCACTTCTCACTGTCCAAAATGACCTTGATGGTTCATTCACTTGTGTAATGTCCATCTTTCTCAATAGAATGTCAGCTCACCAAAGGCAAAAGACTTTGTCCTGTCCGACTAGATACCTCTAGCACTTTGAACGCACTAGAGGACCCAAAATTTGCCAGATGAATGAAGAAATCCATCCCTGTCCTGCTTCCTGTTTGGGCTGTTGTGGATCACGTGGTTAAGAGCCCTCTGTAAAACTGTAAAGCTCTCCTAGCTAAAGGTGACCCTTATCATGAGCGTCTGTGACCTCCTTAGGGGAGGTGGCAGTGATGTCAGGCTCCTGTAGACCCACCTAAATATGGAAGCAACCCTGAATGGCATTGCCTTTCTTATACAAGCTGCCTTCTTGCACCTCTCCCACTGATGGCCCCGCTGCTGTCTTGCACCAGCCTCTGGAACCCCCTGCGGGCACACACAGTTGCACACGGGCTCAACCATGACCCTGAGCTCACGCCCCTCTAGGCTGGCACCTGGACACGTGTGCTTGGCACACCCTCAACCTGGGCATGCTGTTCCACCCCCATGAGCACACAAGACTAGTCCCCACATACAGTGAGCGCACACAGACAAGTGTGCACCAGGCCGAGAACCCTGGCCACCCACCTTCTCTGGGACGGTTGACCTATGGGGACAATCTTATCCTCGTAGAACCGCTTCATTGCAAATCGGTCCAGGGCCTGGTCAGCACTGTGGGGAGAGACAGGTGGTCAGAGGAGCCAGCTTCCATGTCCAAGAGCCCCTTGTCCCCAGACCCCTGCCCTGCAGAGCCCTCCAGCCACCCTGTCCTGAGATGCTTTCAGGAAAGGACTGCCCCAGAATGTACTCAGCATGGGGGCCTTGGAGCCAGGCAGCCTGGGAGCCCATCTCAAGTCCACCACTTACTTAGTAGCCCTGCACTTTGGGGCAAGTTACTTAACCTTCTTAAACCTGACTTTCCCTTCCTGTCAAATCAGGTAATAATCGGGCCTTACTTGACGGTTGTTATGGCAATCGAGTGAGATAACATCTGTAAAGAGCTTGGCACATGTGGGCACACAGTAGGTGCATAGGAAATGTTCACCATTAAGCAAAGATTAGGCCAGGTCGGGTTTCTTAAAGTCATAAAACTACCATCCTATTATCAAACTCTCCATAGAACATTCTACCTATCCTCAAAGAGATTTTAAAATGAAAGGACAGATCACGCAGCTCCTCCATTCTTAACTCAGCAATGAAGTCCCATCCTTCTTAGAATAAACTCCAACATCCTGATCAAGGGCTACAAGGCCCCCCAGGCTCCGCCCGCTCCCAGCTTCACTTCCTACTACTTCTCGTCCCCTCACCTACTTGGCTCCAAACACGCCAGTTCCTTGCATCCTCTCTTCTCTGCCTGGAAGGTCCCAGGCCCCCAGCACCACCCCTCCCCGCTCCCCCTCTTCCCTGGCCCAGAGGCTGTATATGACCCAGTCCTTCCCACTTCCCCTCACTTGATTCCAGTCTCTGCTCAAATTCCACCTCCTCAAGAGGCCTCCCCTCCCCACAATCTTGCTCTGGTCTCCGTTCTGCACAGCACTTGTCACCTGCTCTTACTGACATATTCGTTTACTTATTGAACATTCATGAGGGCCGGGGCCTGGCCTTGCCCCCTGCTCTATCCCCAGCACCTAGCACAGTCTGCACAGGGGCTGTCCCACCACCCCCGTCAAATGGCTAAATGAAGGGACCAATCCCTCTGCCCTTCTGCAAACCCGAATCAGCATGGGACTCATCCATTGGTTGCGTTCTATTCTTGCTGCAAAATACCTACGTGGGAAGAGGCCCCTGCTGGCCAGAGGCAGAGGCGTGCATAACTTCTAGATAGGTGGAGAGGGGAGGGGATTCCTGCTGGCGATATTCAGGGCCCCCTTACCTGGCAGAAATGTTGCTGTAGTGCATGTAAGCTGCGATCACAACACCTATCCTGCCTCGGTTTCCCTGAAAAAGCCCCGAAACACAAAAGCCTTTACTTTTAACACTGGCCCTCCTGCCCCGGAGCCCATCCAGAACCTTGAAGAAAAGCGGGGGCGGGGGCTGGAGAGAAGGGGGTGGTCCAAGGGAGAACAGGAGAAGGGCAGAAGCAGGTGAGGGCTGAGCGTCAAAGAGAAGAAACACAGCTGATCATCCACCATGCCCGAGGAACCGTCAAGCTGCTACCCCGCACTTCTTGGGGGCGCCCGGGACAGAATCTATTCTCCTCAAGGAGGAGAATACACACACATAAACCTGCGTGTTCATACAGTCAATGAAACGGGCAGGTACATGCACTCATCCAAGGATATAGTCACACATGTGTGGGTGTGTGTGCATGTGTGCGCATGTGCATGCGCACACACACTCATCCTGTAGCCCCGGCTCTGACCTTGTTGTGTAGAACGACGACATTGTGGGGGTCTGCGTTGAGCCAGGTGTCCATGGCCTTGCAGACACTGCAGATCTTCTCCAGTGCTGGGGTGTGCAGGTCGGGCCAGCCAAATTCCAGTACCTGTGGCCCGAGCCATGAGAGAGAAGTGGCAGAACCCAGAGCGTCAACGACAGGGGTGGAGCAGGGGCCAGCACACATGCCTCGTGCCATTACCCAAGTGGTGGCACCAGCAGCAGGGCCTCAGTTCCTGCCTTAACCATCAACCCAGCTGGGAGGAAGGGATGCAGAGGCAAAGGATGCTGGCCCGGGACCAGAGACCCTGCGCCTGAGTTTTGGCTGACACTGGCTGGCTGTGCGACCTCAGGCCAGTCACAGCCCCTTCCCCAGCCCCAGCTTCTCATACATGCATAAGGCAAAGGCTTAGAGCTGATGGCCCCTAGGTCCCTTGTACATCACTTTGACCTCAGAACACCCCCTAGCATTGTTCCCAACCTCTCCTCCCACAGATAACCCTGAGACCTGGCTCAGGGAGGAAGAAGGAAGGGTGAAGGGCTATTCATAGCTCTTTTCCAGGCCCCGGACACACAAACCATCAAGTTTTCAGGTCAGCGGAAAGAGGTCTGAAGGGAACAGACAACAGACCTGACTAGCAGACATCAGGCTCCTTCAAACTTTTCTTAATTCACAGAACTTTAAAGTCAGAGAAAACCTGTGTCAAGAAGGGCCCAGGGAGCACATCTAATCCAGCCTGTCCACTTTCAGAGGTGCAAACTGATACCCAGAGAAGTCTGCCGCCCACTCAAGGTCACACAGTGACAGGTACCAGAATCCAGGGTCCAGAGCAGACGTCCATGCTAAGCCCCACACACAGCCCACTGAATCGCAAGTGAAAGGAGGCTGGCTGGAGGAAGTCTGCATTGGCGATTCCCAGCCAGTTTAAATCCAGGATACTTTTCAATAAGACTAAACATCTCATAGCTCCAGCCCCAGTGTGCACCGCAGGGGGCAGACCGGGGTGAAGAGCACCGTATTGAGCTTTGCTTTCTCTATTTTGTAGTACATAAACAATAAACACATTCTCTTCTATTTTTCGAATAGCAGACGGCACTGTAACTTTGAACAGGCTTTGCAAATTGTCGCAGCACTTTCCCCAAGATGTTCATGTGGGAACCTCAGGGAGAGGGGGCCCATCTGTTCCTCCCATCCAGGCAGGGAGAAGCCCCCACCCCCAAGCAGCCATGGGCTCACCTTGGCGTGGAGCTTCGTGATGTCAGGTCTCCGCTCGGAGAGGTTGAAAAGCTAGAAGGAGGAAAAGGAGGAGATTGAGAGAAGGCTGGCATTCTCTCTTTCCTTCTCTCTCTCTCTCTCTCTTTCCTATTGGAAATTCTACCCATACGTGAGCATACATGCATCCCATCAGACACACACTGACCAACAGGAACTCAACTACAGGTTATCAGGATAAAGAGGGAGACATACCGAGCCACTCCCCTGGGGGAGCAGACGTCCTGAACTGAAGACAAGGAGGAAATCGACCTGTCTTGGGTCCCTTGTGCCACCCTCAAGGTGGGCATCTCCCCACCCTAAGTGGAATCCAATGGTATCAAATGATAAGTATCAGGCCATCTCTGGTTTCCACTTCACACATTGACTTTAGCTCACCCCACGAAGATGCAACTGCTCTGTGGTCGGACACCCTCCATCCAAGAGTGAAACCCACGCTGGGTGGGCCCTCTCAGACCCTTGACACCCCTCTCCCAGC